CTCAGAATCAAAGGTTATCACACCTGTCTAGCGCAGGTGAGATTCGTTATGATTTTATGAAACCTGGCTCACCGATCATGGCAGAAATATACTGCAACCAACTGGATGGAATGATGCAAAAACTTAAAAAAAAACAGCCTAGATTGGTCAACAAATCGACTCCCATCTTATTGCATGATAACGTTAGATCACACACTGCACAAATGACTGTGGCAAAACTACAGGAATTGGAGTTGGAACTTCTTCATTATCCTCCATACTCATCAGACCTAGCCCCCACTGTCTGTCACTTCTTCCACAATTTGAACAATTTTTTAATAGGAAAACAATTTAATTCCGACAATGCTGTAAAACTGGTCTTCCAGGAATTCATTGACTCTCGTCCGCCAGGGTTTTATATCACCGGCCTGAACAACCTGCCGCTTAAATGGCAAAAGTGCATAGACAATATGGGTGCATACTTTGATGAATAAAATAATTCCTCATATTTGTAAGTTATGAAACAACTTTGCCTTCTTTTCTAAAAATTTCATACTTGACGACCTGATATAAGATAAGTATATAAGGCTACAGAAACGAAAACAGTTTTACATAGAGAAAAAAGGAGAACACATATCAGCAATGGTTCTGTTTCATATCTGTTATTATGATGTGCGTTACCTGAAAGTCGAAAGTCTCGTCGCAGTTGAACACCAGCACGAATCTTCCTAGCTGATGACCCAGAGCCTTGACCGACTCAGTTTTTCCTGTTCCAGCCGGTCCGAACGGAGAACCTCCGAGCCGAGCTTCCAGAGCCTGAGTCATGGTCAAGTAGCATCTGTCCGTTAAAGGCGTTTGCACCAATCTATCCTGTACTCCCAAGTATTCGAAGCCGTAGAAAAACTTGGCGTTCGCCATGTGTATGGTGAGCTGTTGCAAAACCTCTGTCTGCCTGGGATCGAAGTAAAATCTCATCTCGCAAAGCCACTCGAATGCTTTCGGATTGGAGACCTTGTTCGCGATCAGCCGCCTCGTTACCGTACGTTTGTGGACAAACTCGTTGATCAGGTGTTCAAGCTTCTTCCGCCTCAAGGGTGGCTGTTCTTGCAGCACCGAATCCGCCAACACGTTCAGAGTACCCTCGACTTGTATCAAGACTCTTTCCAGAGGGTCTTTGCTGGGATCGGATTGCGCTTCATGCAGAGCCGCCTCGACGTCCTCCGACCATAAAATCTGCGCTGCCAGAACTATAATTTGCGCTTGGTAATTGTCGCACCAAGTCATGAACGCTTGCGAGTTCATGTTGCCGTCTTTGAACTGTTTGATATCCTGCACCGCACGGGCTAGACTCGACGCCAGCGTGACTCTCATCTCTTTTTCCACCAGGGTCAACCATTCGTTGATCTTCGGATGATCAACGGTGGAGACCGGATTTTGGAAGAGCACCTCCTCCCCTTCTCTCGACGCTATACCCGTGATCACGGTGTTGTCATCGTTGAGAAGAATAGCTGCCACACCGGCGAACATCTTCTTAAAGTGCTTCTGCAGTCTCGCTATGTTCTTGCTGTTGCCAATAATCTCGAGCAAATCCTCGTCGCCGACAAAGTAAAACCGGGGAAACGAGGTGCGTTCCCTCTCGAGGTACTCGCCCAAAGCCTTCTGAATCTTTCCAAGCAGATCGGCTAGACGTTCGAGGGCTCTTTGCACGCCTGGAATGTTGAGGACGTCCATGACCATCGGGGATTTCGATACCTTCTTCATCAGACCAAGAAACTCGGAACTGATGCTCTGGAACCGGGACGTTTCAACCGGTAACAATGTCTTGATGTCGGCACTGCCCGAGAAGATGCCTTCCAGGTAGACCCAGCGCCTCTGCACGTCTATCCAGACGTCGAACAACGCGTTGATCCTGTTCAATTTCTCTTCCCAGGTCAACGCTTCCTCCTCGAATACTTTGTAGTACGGCGACAGTTTCATCGCGGCGACGGAATTAATGTGTTCTTTGACTTTGTTGAAGAGATCGTCCCAGCCGCGTATCAACTTGCATTTATTCTGATAATTGATCAAATCCAATTCGTAGGTCTGCCAGGACTCGCGAACCTGCTTCAAAAACTCTTCCAACGCCATCTCGCCCTGCGCGACGAGGATGATGTCTTTGACTATGCTTTCATTCTTCTGAAGATTCACGTCCCAAACTTGGCCGAGAGTGAGGTCGCTCAACACCCAGTTGACCCGGAGCTGTTTCGTCAGCTGTTTCCAGTGTCTCTCTTTGAGCGCGTCCGATTTCAACTCAACGATCAGCATGTTGACCTTCGTGTAACTCTGCAGCATCTTCTTCACGTATTCGTAAGAGGAGTACTGCCTCAGCCTGGCTGGCAGCTCTTTCAGCTGGGCCATCATCGTGTCCAGCTGTTGCCGCAATTTTCTTGGTTGCACCGAGAGCCACGGTTTCTCTCTGGTTTCGTCGATCTGAGCCCATATCTTGGACAACTCCGACCAGACGCCTCTTAAGTCTTGAAGCTCCTCGAAGACGACTTGCATCCTATCTTCGCTGGTGGAAACGCCGCCGGGCTCCTGCAACTCCAAAGCTTCTTTGGCCTTCGCAACATTGTCTCTCTCCTCTTTCAACCTGGCAAACTTGCTTTCGAACAGCTGCAACTGTTGCAGAGCGTCGTCCGGCCTCAAGTGACCCTCGACTGGTTTGCCCCTTTCCCAATCGCTCAAGAAATCGGTGGTTCGGATCTCGACGGCTTTGTCCTCGGCGACTATCTTCATCTGCAACGACGCCACCTGCGTTTGTATGCTGGTGTCTTTTCTCTTGAGTATCTCATTGAAAGCTCCCCATTCACCCTCGATATTATCCACGTGCAGCCAAGAGGATGGAAACTGGAATCTTTGCCGCTCCAGTATCCTCTGACTCTCGCGGTATATATCCACTTGTTTCTCCCAAGCTTTCATCTTACGTTTCAATGACTGGACATACGTGATCAGCCCGACCGCGTCGGAAGTACTGGCAGCTTCGATCGATTGCTGTTCCAAATCGCTTCTGGACTTGGACACTTGCGAATGGAAGCTCGCCATCTCGTTGCCGAGGAGGGTTCCGAATTTACCGAGGGTCTCCTTGTGCCAGGAGTCATATTTCAGCGACACTTTGCTCTGCACCTTCGCGTAATCGATGATCACGGGGCCGAATTCGCGTCTGGTGTCCGACGTGTCGAACGTGGTCCTAGTTTTCTTGATGTCGTTCAGACATTTCATCCAGAGATTTATGTTCTCCCGCAGTTTGCCGTACAGGTTGTCCGGCTGCAAGTCCCAGAGCGCCTGATAGCGTAACCACTGATCCACGTAATCGGCAACGTCCTTCATCTTGGACTCGACCGCTTCGTAAGCAGCCTCTAACGGCTGTTTTCCGGAGGGCAGCTTCGTGAGCAAATTCCGATAAGTGGCCGACTCGGGTTTGTCCAGACCGACTTGATATCGCGAGCTCTGGAGACGTACTTGAGACGTGACGATGGCTTGCCAGGCGAACAGTTGCTGCATTATCTGGAATCTCGCGTCCTCGATGCTCGGATACAGATACATCGTTTGATTCGTTATGCGGACCTCGTGAATCTGATTTTGAATCTTCGGATCGCCGCCCGGTTTGTGCGTAGGTTGTGATGGAGCGTCCGTGTCCATGCTCAAATCCACCTCTTTCTTTTGACCGGTTAGGGCATCCGTCCATGCTTTGATCCCAGCTTCCAATCTGGCCGCCAAATTCTTCTCCACCTCCTCGTCGAGTCGGGACACCCATATGTTCAAGTTCGAATAATTCTTCAGTGACAGTTCGTCCACGGCTTTTTGAATTTTCGAGAGGATATCGGCGAACGTGTTCGCTGAATACGGACAAGTTTCGAGGGAACGAACGTCAACGTCCAGTTGCTCTTCAACGACTACAAGGTCCTCGACTTTCTCTTGGAACGAAACGACAGCATCGGACAGACGTTGCACGTACGGATCTAGTTTGTAACTTTCCCAAATAAGGCCGATTCCCTGAATTCGAAAGAACGGAAATTTTATATATTTATATAAAATATATATAAATTATTTATTTATAATTATTTATTATATTTATAATAATAATAATAATTATTATTATTATTATTTATAATTATTTATATATAAATTTATATAAAATATATATATAAAATTTTATACATTTATATATATATATTTTATTTAATACAGCTCACCTCAGAGATAAGCGATAACACATCGTTGCGCATCCCAGCAACTAACGGTACGATGCTGGCCTTGTCTTCGATCTAAATAGAAATTACAAAACGTTATCGAATCGATCACTTAAACGTTACATTCCGTAAGAATACCAATACTGTTTGTACAACATAAATTACGATTTATAAATTACCATTCAATGATTGTACATACAAAAGATGCAAACAAAAGTTTCATGTGTTCATAGCAAATCCTAAAAAACTTCATATACGTAGATTCGTATCTGCGGTTTACTTGTTACAGAAATAGAGAAATACAAGATGTCACCATATCAATTGCAAGCAATTTTCGGCATATGCGGATGGTCTAACTTTTTCAAATGAATCACAACTGAACAATGGAAATTCAACCTGGAGCGAGAAATCAAATTGGCGGGTATCTGATAAGTATTTTAGAGCAGACGAGCGACAGTGAAATTAGAAATTTGTAAGCTTTGAGAAACCTCGAATTCAAAACGTTTCCATGTTTTATCTTTGAAAACCAAAACGAGACAAAAACGAGACCAAAAAACCAAAAGATAATATATGACAAACAACCAATAATTTGGCTTCCTTCTCTTTGCAAATTACAAGTTACCTACTAATTATTCGATTCGTTACAAGTTTATGCTAGTTTCTTTCGATAATTCATTGTACTAAAACAAAATCATGTTGCAGTACAGATCGTTCTACGAGAGCTAAGCAGGCATTACATTAATTCGCATATGTAGGCAAGATGCATAATTCCTGAAAGCATCATACATGACTACCTTCAGTGCGGGGCAGTGGGAACTCCGATTGGTAAGCTAAACATGTTGGAGATCCAAGAAATTAGAAATATCAATAAAACTATAACGATATATACCCTTAAACTGGCACTATTCCCTATTATTTTCTATCTTATTTGATTTTCTAAAGACGTTAAATATTCTGTAATAATTGTATACATATATATATATATATAAATGTTTGTAATAATGATAATCCTGATGCAAAACATTGAAAAATATAAAAGTTAGTTTCCATGGAATAAAGAATTCCTTTTTAAAAGTTTGCATCAATTCCCGAACAGATCGTTCGAATATGAATGCACAGAACGGTGATATATTACCTTCTCGAGCGTTCTCTCGTAAGTTCTGATGCTGTCGATCAGGCTGATTGCGAACGGGTACAGCTGATTGGCTTGATGCGCTTTGTTTACAATTGGCAATGGTACACGAAATCCAAGGTTACGAAGATTTCTTACTTCCTTGGATAACGTGATGATCTCAGGAAGAAAATTGACTTTTAACTTCAACACGTTGCCACGACCCGTGCGCGATCGTACATTTTCTATCGCGAAAATCCTCCCGGTAACGCCCAGATTTCTTTGTTGTACTTTTCGCACCCAATCGTTGAAAATTTCTTGGGTCGACAGTTTCATACGAAAACTATCTCCGTCCGCTTTCAATGTTTGTCCTTCAATGTGACTCTCCCATCCTTTTCCTAACGAAAAAAAGAAAGATAATCATTGAAAATTTTACGACTATGCACATATCAAACCACGAGCTTCATATACGTACCTAAAACGTCTTCGACCCGTTTCAAGTACATCGTAAGCTGATAATCTATTTGTTTCACCCAAATAATGGAACCGGCAACGGGAGGCAGATCTCTGACGGTACTCATTTTACAGCATTTGCTTTGTGCGTATTGAACCTAATAATTATAGTAGACCAGTGATAATGATGATCGTCATGATGTTCATATTAATAATAATAATAGTAATAGAAATAACAATAACAACAATAACAGTAATACAATGTTTAAAACAAATGCAATATTTTTAATCGATTCCATTGTTCTTTGGTTTACCTTAAACTTTTTGTGTAAAGCCTCAATATCATCCTTCACTCTTTGTATCAGTTGCGTTTGATATTCTCTGATAGCACCTCGTATGTGTGGCCTCACGAAAAGCGCATTGAAACGCGAAAAAATTCGAAACATCTCATTTGCATTCTTTGCAGTGCCCAACTGGTCCCTCAGATGCGCTGTAATCCTAGCCTCAACCCTTTCTATGCGCTCCTCGTATCTATGAACGGCAGCTTTCCAAGATTCTTGACCTTCTTTGCTGATGTCAAGACAATCGATTTCTTTGACATTTTCGTACGCTAAATTTACTTCGCTTATCGCATTTGCATCCGCGGCATCGAAAGCATATTCTACCTTTACGTTGTCGGTATCAGGGTTTTCCATTGTGGTATTGTTATTACTCTGGACTGTAGGTCTGAGCACGCGAACAATCACTGTCCTGAGCTGTTCGTGTTGCAGACGGAAGTGACGCATATGTTCCATTCTGTTTTCCAACTTTTTGTGAGTCGGTGAAACCCTCCACAACATTTTTATATGTTCGTCGCGTTTCTTTTTAACAAGATCTCTCAACAATCCAGTCAACTTTTCATACTCATCGTCCCACGTGTTAAATACTTGGAAACATTGTCCCATAACTTTTTCGAACTCGTCAAATGGAATGTGCATCAATCTTCTTGTACCCAATACTTTTAAAAGTTGCTGTCCTAGATCCCTGGAGATAGCTTCCATCAATCTTAATGTTCTTTGAATAGGATATTTTGTGCTTCGAATTTTTCGAAAGTGAATGAAGATTTGTTGAACACTGGCTCTTATTCTTTCAAGTTCCGTGGCGGATAATAGATCATTGATTGGAAAGTCTTTCATTAAAGGATTATAATCGTTGACGGTATCCAAAGCTTGTTGCAGGCCAGTGTCTGTATCGAAACTAACAGTTGCATGAAATCTTTTTCCATGCTTCAGTATATCCAGTGTTAACGAAATATCTATGCTTTCCCGTTTCTCTTGTATTCGATGTAATGCTCGTTCCAAATTCAACCAGAAAGAAATCTCCTGAAGGGCAGTGCCTGATTCTGGGTCACGGTTCAGTTTAGTTACCTACAACAATATAATTAGTAGTATAGAGAAGCATATAGCATAAAGAACACCAAACCGTAGAATATTAATGGTTTACCTTTTGGATTTCTTTTATCCATCGATTAACACCATTTTGCAATTGGTTCAAAAACGTAGAGTCTTCGACTTTATCGCCGAAATCTGCTACTTTTGGCTTACGATTTTCTTCTATGCATTGTTTAATTACTTGTGCCACGACCGGATGAATTTGTAAGGAAATTTCGGGGATATCTATATTTTGTTGGAGATGTAACAATCCCATTTCCAACTCTGCTATTTTCTTTTCAACCGTCGGTGCCATTTTATCTCCATCTCTATCTGCACGACCGGTCTCTTTCACATAACTTTTAAAATACGGAGCAATTGTTTTACTTATAGCATGCAATGTTTCATAAGGTGGCCCATCCGAGAAGGTAACTAAACGTAGTTGCGAATGAATAGACTTGTCAGCCTCGACTATTGTTCCTCGTTTTGTTAAAACTAAGGAGGCCATTTTAGGATTAGTGAAATGTATCTCGTTCGATATATACAAAACAGAATTCTCTTTTTCTTCGTCTCCTTCATTGCTGTCTTCTTCTAAAAGAGAATAGATTAAATAAAACATAATATCACATGTAAATAGGAATTACTAATGCATATGAACCAAAAGTAATTCGACTTTCATAACATTCTTACACAAATTGTGCAACTGCAAATGTTGTGTGTGTGTGTGTGTGTGTGTGTGTGTGTGTGTGTGTGTGTGTGTGCAAAAACCATTATCTATATATATAAATTTTTCCTAATTAATACAAATTAAAAAGCGTAGCGCGTGAGTTTCTTCTTAATCATTTTCCTATGGAACACCCTGTCGCGAGGAAATACGAAAATGAAACCATAATCGATGCGTAAAATTGCGCACCGGNAATTCGACTTTCATAACATTCTTACTGCAATTGTGCAACTTGTGTGTGTGTGTGTGTGTGTGTGTGTGTGTGTGTGTGTGTGTGTGTGCAAAAACCATTATCTATATATATAAATTTTTCCTAATTAATACAAATTAAAAAGCGTAGCGCGTGAGTTTCTTCTTAATCATTTTCCTATGGAACACCCTGTCGCGAGGAAATACGAAAATGAAACCATAATCGATGCGTAAAATTGCGCACCGGCACATTTTCATAACTCGGACAGATGTATGGTACGTGTGTGTGTGTGTTAATAAAGAATGGATTTATAAAGAAATAGAATGCGATACTATCGTTGGACGTATCGACCATATTAGAAGATGAGTCATATAGAAGACAGATGTAAATGAACCGGACAAGTGGCAAGCAGCACATTAATTTTCAGCGTACGTTTCCATTGTCGAGGTTTGATGTACCGTTGTATCGAAAGACCGCAATGGAGGATATCGCGAGAGGGCAGAGTGCAAAATTTCCAACGGCAATGCGGTTAATGATTTTTCGCGTATCACGTATTGCCCTTATGGCTCGTAAGCTTACGGACTCGTCCTTACCTTTGCTAGAACTCCTTTGTATATAGAGCGCCCACACTTGAGAATCGCTTAAAAATTTTCTAATACACTCTTGGTTGTTCTTGTCCTCGAAAGCAGAATCGAACGCGGGTGGTAATACATCTTCGTCGGGTAAAAGGACCATTATAACTTTTTTTAAATAAGTAACAAACTCCCAATATTCTACCACTATAACAGTTTGAGACTCCGGGGACGGTTCCCCGGAGCCGTCCAAGGAGTCACCCATCCCGCGGTAATCGGTATCGCAAAATCTTGGAAATCTTGAGCGGGTGATCCGTCGACCCCCGCTCTCGGATCAACTCAGATCAACTGTCACAACGGGTGATGACGATCTATAAGATACATAGACTACATACAACACAGAACTACAATTATGTGCATATACTGTATATCGTAATGCACTAGAAACTTGCAGGGATCTACCCCCCCCCCCCCCCCCCCCCCCCCCCCCCCCGGCCC